AGCTATTAAAAATAAAAGTTAAAGTAGCTTTTTAGTTAAACAAACCTCTTCTTATTGTAATGAAATGAAATACCCCTAGGACCATGAACACGACTTTATGTGTGTTATCTGTATTAGGAATTATTAAATTGTTATTTATAATAGCATTATTTCTTTAACAGTTTCTGTGCCTTTGCATATGTCAACCTGGGTTATAATGAAGAATATTGTTGCTAAGAATGGATTTTCTGGATTATTTTCAGGTAAAAATAATTGCTTTACTGAATCATAGAATGAATACTTTTTAAACCTATTATCTTCTAAAACTAACTTATAGGAGGAAGTTATAAGTAACACGATACATCTGTTTTCTCCTAAATGTCTTTGTTATAAGTTAAAATAAATGTTAAATAACAGATTTACTGTCAATAAGATAAAAGTTTCTCTATAATGTAATATGGATTGAAGTGAGGAGGTTGGAGGTGAGCAATCTAACCTTTTCTACCAATTTATGGATTTAACATATTACTTTATTTGTTCATTATCAGAATAAAGCCAAATAAATTATAGTTTAAAAAATAAGAAAAAGTATTTGTTCTGATTATTCCTATTCTTTTTTCAGGCCTAATTCCTCGTTTAATTAAAATTGCTCCTGCTTGTGCCATTATGATCAGTACATATGAATTTGGAAAGGCTTTTTTCCAGAAACAAAATGTTCGAAGGCAGCAATACTAGTGATGCTGTTTCAACTTCAAATAACAACTATAGCCCAAAGAAGGTGAAGACTTTTAGGCAAGAATGTTTTTCACCATTATTTTCTTATAATGATTTTATGTCTTTCTTTTCTATAAATTAAATAAATAATTTCAGCTCTACCTATTAATTTCTACCTATTAATTAAATTTAAGTAATTTTAAAATAAATTTTATCCTATTTTTGCTGATATTGAAAAAGATATTCTAGAAGTCACAACCATTGAGCATTCTTGTAAAAATAAGAAAAATTCCTCACCCTCAAAAACAATCTGAGAGTTTAATATTATATATTTCAGTGTAATGTAATCTTATTGAGAGTGTGTTGAATACACCAGAAATGTGTGCTGAATGATGTAGAGTCTAGAAGAGAAAAGCCCAAGTCTTGGGCACATTTAAATCATGTACATAGGTATTTTCATATTTCGGTAGATAAAGCAGTCATTAAATAGCATTGTTCACATTTACCAAATATTGCCTGTTTCCATTAATTCAAATGCATGAGGTTCCCACCTCTCCCCCACCCCACCCACTCACCATGCTGCTGTTTTAAGGCCTCATATGTATTAAGATTTCTCTGATCAAAATTGTGGCTGTTTTCTTTATGAACCATAATATCATTTGTGTGATGTACATTCTGCCATTTTTGATGACTAAATGTCTGTATTTCTACTGTTCCTGTAAGGGAGACTCTTACTGATAGTTGCAAATTTTTACTCCAGTCAAACTTGGGTGTTCAGTGGAAAACCACATAGGATTTAGACTGGTAAAAATAGTTTGCACACAGGAATAGCCTCTGATTTGTAGCCATCTTGTAATCCAAGTATCATTGTTCCTGGAATTCTCTTGGTCATTTTTATTGCCTTGTTCTAACAAGTTAGAAATTATTGCTACAAAAATAGTTACAAAATATTTCTAAAATGCCCTTTTATTTTTATACTTAGTATGGTAGAGGCTAAACAAGAAGCTGTTTCCTTGAAGACACTGCTTTCAGTCACTGTACATATCTAAATAATTTAGCTTATGATTGTATGTAGGAATGAGTTAAGAAAGGATATGATGGCAGGAAAAGAAATGGTATTCATTTTTTTATACTTTAATTTTCTTAAGATTTATATCCTGTTTTTTAAAAACACTTTATTGCAGTCTTTATTTTAGGAATGTTTGAAGCATTTTTTATCCCCTAAAATGAATATATTTAGAATATTCATTTATGAATATAAAATCTTCTTTAGTGCTGGTTGAGGAATTAATTGGTTTTGTACTATAGTAGGAAAGTGTTTGTATATTTCACCAGAAATAAAGTATATAGGGTTTGTATGTAATCTAATGTTATTATTTTATCCGATGTTGATTTACCTTAAATTTGCAACATAGCCCTATAAATATTCATGACTTTATTTCATTAAAATGTTGTATGTCTTCTTAAAATCATCACTGTGCTTCTGAATATTTTTATATAAAATCATTATATAATGTTGTACTGTGATATATATATATGAAAGTTTATCTTGAACAGTGCTCTTTAACAATTTTAAATTTATCTTAGTTTTGCTATGCTTATGGATAATTCATAGAAAAGAGCAGATAAACTTAATACTGTACTCCCAAAAGGCAGTTATATATTTTGGTTTAATATCACCTATGAGAAATGTTTCCATGTCTCCTACCCCTCACTGCACTTGAGAAAAATTCTTTTTTATGAATAAAGTAAGGTAAGTATATCTAATTGCCTAGTAGTTTTTCTAACACATATTACATGCAGTGTATCTGGATCAAAAGAAGGCTGAATTGAAGCTTTCTTTATACTTAAGAGGTAAAGATACATTAATACCGTTAAAATATATTAGCAACCAAAAAGGGTTCAGCATTTTGTCATAATAATAACTTAATTTTTTTATTAAAATAGTACCTAGAAAAATTCGGTCCATAGAATAGCTAAATTTTTTAAATTTTAATTTGCTCCCAGAGTTCTGTCTGATAAAATAATTGAATATTATTCAATTGATAAAATAATTGGCTGATGAATATTTCCGGGGTTTACTTCATACTTATACTTGATTATACTTTTCCATATACTTGATTAGTATACAAATTTAACTCTCAGCCATATGGGCTGTCCAGACTTTCCAATACATGTGTTGCAGAAATTGCAATATTTGCAAACATGATCTACAACAGTGTTCTTGGTGATGTGATGTTTCTAAAAGAATTTTTATTCTATTACATTTTCTAACATAAACATTTAATTGCTTAAACTTAAAATTTTTAAGAAGGAACATCTTTAATTTCCAATATTCAATGGTTGCAACCTTTAATGTAGTACATGTTTGACATTTTCAAAAAGGTAAATTTTCTAGAAAAAGTATTCACTATGCTTATTTAACTGCATATGATTTTTAAATATTACTCTCTTGGAACAACATGTACTGGGGTCTATCAAAGGGTGGAGGGTGGGATGAGGGAGAGGATCAGGAACGATAACTAATAAGTACTAGGCTTAATACCTGGGTGAAATAATCTGTACAATAAATGACACAAGTTTACCTATATACAAACCTGCACATGTACCCCTGAACTTAAAAATAAATTCTTCCCTCTTTTGTCTTGGGCACAAGTTTTTGGGATGTGGAAAAGTTTATTGTACCCCTTAATTTTCTTCTAAGATTAACTTTTTAAATAAAAAAGATTACTGCTTTTATTTTTTAATCTGTCAGTATTGGTACATTGTATGTAGTAAGCAGTATGAAAAAAAGCACTGGAGATCAGAAGACATTTCAGATGTTGTTACTGGCTACAGGAGGCTTCAGAGCTTTGATGGACAGAAGCATGCATAGTGAGTCATGGGAAACATGGGGAGTTGTTCATCCAGCCTGGGTCAGAGAAGGGGAGTGGTCAGGAAACCTAAGAGCTCGACTGATAGGCAATCCAATTATGAAACATGCAGGGAAATGGGAGTCTCAATAAGGCAGTGGAATTTAGTCCATGTGGCTTGAGCAAAGTGTATAAATGGGAACGTGGTAAGAGATGAGATTGGAGATGTAGTCACCGGCCCTTGTGCACTAAAGGAGAAACAAGAAAGCCATGGGAAACCTAGGAAAGACTTTTTTGCCCAGTTGTAACAGTTAGACTTGGGCTTTGGAAAGATAACTAGCAGTATGGAAAATGGGACTTATGATAAGGTGATCTATGTTAAAATCTGAAAGTTTTGGTTTGTATTAAAATATACTTTTTAAATGTGCCATGAAAAAGAGGTCATTTTATCTTCCCTTTCCTATCAATCAGTTAAAATGACAAATGCTAAAACTAAATTGAAGCTGCTCTGCTTTCAGAAGAGAAGAATGAACCGCTTAAAAAAAAGGCCCTGAGGTTGAAAGCAGTCTTATGACACCTCAGCGGTAATCCAGTATGTTAGCTGAGCAAAATCTGGACATTTCATCTAATGATAGGAACTTTAAACAAAGCAGTTTTCTAAGTTGTAAATTTGGGACATATTTATAACCACTTAAAAACTGTATGAAGGGCTTAGTGGAGAGGAGAATGGAAAGTTGTTATTTAATGGGTAGAGAGTTTCAGTTTGGGAAGATGAAGTTCTAAAGATGAATGGTGGTGATGATTACACAACATTGTGAACGTACTTAATGCTGTTACCCACTACAGTTAAAAATGTTTACAGTGGTATGATTAATGTTTATGTACATTTTACTACAACTTAAAAAATAATTACTATATTATCTGGAAGAAAAAATCTCAGGCTGTGGCTACTCTTGGACAATAATAAATTCTGAGAAGACTGAAAAAAAAAAACTGTATGTAAATCCAATATAACTGGTGATATACTTTGTCTGCCAATCATAATTAGTAGTAACCTACATTTGGCATTTATCTCCTTAGAACTTTTTTATATATGATTTCACTTAATGCTGACTTCATCCTGATGCCATCTCATAGGTACCAAGAAAATAGTGATTCTTACAGGTGAGAAAACAAACATGACTATATTTCATAATTAAATCAGTAACACTACCAGAACCACTACTGCACTGTGCTGGTTCAATAGATGCTGTGTAATCTAAAACATATCATTTTACTTTTTAAAAATAGGATATTTAATTTGATGTGAGTTGAAATAAGGATTTCTTCCATTCCATTTTCATGTTAGTATTTTAGGTGTGAAATAATATATATTTACCACATTTGCTGAAACAAAAGTTCAGTATGCAAGTTAAATCAGGTAACTTTTTGTCAAGCAAAATAAGACCACCAATGCATAGTACAAAATTTTTAATATACATGCAATTAGCACGCTTCGAAGAAACAGACTACACATGGAAATATTGGCATACAATTCAGCATTCTTTTGGGGGCAAGGAGGAGGGTGGACAATAAACACTACCACCTAAAATTAAAAGATTGAGACATACATTGTTTTCTCATGCAAACAGTAACAAACTACCTTTAGTGTGATATGAACTCTGTAGAAACCTGATTTCATAACAACAGCAGATGAATTTTATAACAAGAGCTCCAAGAAAGGAGGAAAAGTTGTCATGATCCTCAGATGTAATTTCTAAATCTGCATTTAGCAGCATGTTAAGATGCACAAATTATACATTAGACAAATCTGAAAAATTTTACAATTATGGAATCTTGAATTTCCTTGTACATTATAAAAGTGTATGGGAAAAAAGCCATTTTTTAATTACTAAAGAATAAATGTCAGTTGAGAGTGGACCATGAATGATAAAGCATTTAAACATACTGATTGATAGTTCATAGGAAAGCAGCAGTAGTGCTTAAGTCCAGCCTAAAATTTTCAAATTTCTCCTTATCCATTTACTTATTCCCTTCTCCCAGAGTTTCCATTCTTCTCATATTATACCTTCTTTCCATCCCCCATGCTGATGAAAAACTGCTTTGGATACTTCATTCCCAATCAGGTGTACAGAATTGAGAAACTGAGAACAAAAATGTATAATTTCTCAAGAATATTTGCATTTCTACAAGTATTGAAGCTTTAAGCTAAAGGAAGAAAGCTCTGAATATGTTCTGGCACATCTAAGATAACTTATTTTAATGAATTCCAGGCCTTTGTCCCTGAAGCAACATTGTTTGACTGTCTTACATATAAGACTTGCTTTGTTACTATTTATTATCTTAAATTCCAAATTATGAGATTAAGTCCCTAAATATTGCAGAAAACCACCACACTCCTACATTTCTAATACAAAGAATGAGTGTCGTCAGCTCAGCTCTTCTTGACTCTTCTCAATAACAACAATAAACAAAAATACCATATGAAGTCCCTAATAAGTACTGAAGCCTCTTCATGTAAACAATGTATAAAATTTCTTTGGCACAGCTAATCATGTTTTCCTCATATTACTATAGAAAATACATGGCATACATTTTCAGCATGGTGGAATTTTTAGGGATCAATGTAGCTGTTTCAAAAAAAAAATTACAACTTTTAAAAACTAATTTTACCTATAGAAGTGTGGGGATTTTCTTTAACATTAAAATATTTTAAAATGAGATTATGGTGTGATTAATGACAGAGGCCATATCATTGTTGCACACAGAGGAAAAAAAACCATCAATGACTATTAGACATACATTTATTATGATAACCACCCTACTGATCCTTGTTTAAAAACTTCCCAAATCTTTAACTAAGTTTGAACTCTTTCCTGACAAAACACTTTTTCAACATTTGTTCTACATTATCAAATTTTTCTGGCTTTTGAGACCTATTTGACTATATTTTAAAATTGATAGTCTTTTAAGAAAATCTTGGAAAACAGAATATATTCATTTTACCAAAATGGCACAAAATTCTGTAAAATTTTTCTTACAGCACTAACAAATTAAGTCAATAACTACCAAAACAGACACATTCCTATGGAGTTTATAAAATGTTAAGTGGAATGTTAAGTTGATACCAAATTATAACTATTAAAGAAAAACTGAATAAGCCATTATGAGAATGCAGCTGAGAACCTTCCTCTGATATTAAAAACAGGCATGTAAAGCACAGAACTTAGGAGGAAATTAATGAAAAAATGAAGTTAACAGTTTTAAATATGAAAAAGTGAAAAAATACTTAGCTTAAGTCTCTGGAATAAAACCCTAAACTCAGTCTCTGGCCACTAAGGTATATTTAAATATATAAAAATCAGCTGAACAATAAATATGTACAATTTGCTATGAACTATTTGGTGGATCTTTGAAAGTTTTTCTTTTTAATCCTATTCCTTTTTGAACTTCCTCAATGACAAATATAAGAATTTTAAAAATGAAAAATGACAGGATCATTCTGTTTTTCACTCAGAATCTTACCTGGAGTGGATTCTTTCTAAGGCAATAGAATTTCGGACATGTACCAGAATAATATAAAATTTCAAAGGTCTTCCCAGCAGTCAAACGTAAATTAAACGTTTACAACATAAAATTTTCTGGCTTTTACATAAAAGTTTTCAGGTTGGAGTTAGCCCTGGACTTGTCATCTCTGTTGTAGGACTTGCAAGGTAGTCATTAGATTTTAAACTTGTTAGAGACTTGTAACTTGCCACTGATGTTAGAGATCCACAGAGGCCAAGTAACGAGGGAGTGTCTTCTTTACCTGAAAATTAGAATTAAATAGCAAATAACTAAATGCCCTTCAGGAATGATACAAATAAGATACTAAAACCATTAGAAACTTCCATAGCTTACAAGATATTGCAAATATATGCAATTATTAAAGATATGTTTGCCCTTTTGGTAGTTTCAACATCACCCTTAAAAAGCATTACAAATTTTGATTATTTGTGCTGCTCATAAAAGTTCTAGATATGGAAGTTTGAGATACCACGTTTAAAGCAAAAATAAAATATGTACCTTTTTGGAGAACATGGTCATGTCTAGTTAGTAAAGGATAATAAAAATCTAAACTAAATTTAACAGTTAACAGTCCCAGGCCACAGAAATAACCAGGAAATCCATATTTTGTTACAGCAGTACATTAGAAGAAGGTCAAAGCTGGTTGGGAGGTAAAGTGTCCCGACTCAATAGGAAGTCTTGATTTTGGGAGACTATTCATTTATTAAACACTTATTCAGTATCTACTATGCATCAAGAACCTAATGTTAAGTGTTGAACTTCAGTAGACCCATGAAGGAGGAATAAGTATGCCTGTTTCCATGGCTGAGGTAAAACAAGTTCTTTCCAAAACTGGGTAGGTTTCAACATCCAGTGTGCTACAACTGGCTATGTGGCTGGATTGGGGCTATGAAAGGCTAAGGTCTCTGAAAAATTAGAAGGTTTCCAAAGAAGATGGAAAACTTAGGCTTTACACAGTTAGAGAAGTTAAGCTGAGCCAAATACCAGATGTTTCTGAATATTACATACTGTTTTAAACAGCCCCTGTGAAGTGTTCCCATAGTCCTTTGTCCTTATCCCACCTTAACATATTGTATAATTGTGGGGCTACTCCTCCCTTTATTAGACTGTAAACTCTATGAGAAAGGATATGGACTTTGTGGTGTTTATTATATTCCCAGTGCCTAGGACACAGTAGATGTTCGTCAAATACCTACATAATAAATGATGATTCAGTGGAACTGCATTTGGACTCAAGATAGCTCCTGTATTCTTTTTAAATGTGTGACCATGGGCAAGGCATCTTCTCTGAGCCTGTTTCTTTTCTTAGAAATATGAACAGATACCAGAAGATGACAGGCTATGCTACTTAACTTCACAGGTTTTTTTTGACCAGTTAAATACAGGAACATAAAATGGCATTAGAAAAAGATATGGAACAGTAGTTGTTATATTCAGATTTTTTGTTTATCACATTACGTTAGTATCAAAAGGTTCATACGTTTAAGTATCCTTTTTATGTTTAAGCTTAGAGAATCATTTCAGGCCAAAATCAGCTCTGTGGAGTTTTTGTTAAAAGCCCCAGGGACTCAACTGTTATGGATAGTTTCTTCAAATTTCTACTTAATTATTGACGCTGAATCTTTTTTTAAAAATGTGCTGCTGATTTCTGGCAAAATGGCGGAATAGGAACAGCTCCAGTGTGCAGCTCCCAGCAAGAGCAACGCAGATGGCAGGTGATCTCCACATTTCCAACTGAGGTACCTGGTTCATCTCATTGGGACTGGTTAGACAGTGGGAGCAGCCCAAGGAGGGCAAGCAGAAGCAGGATGGGGCATTGCTTCACCTGGGAAGCACAGGGGGTTGGGTAACTCCCTCTCCTCACCAAGGGAAGCCATTAGGGACTGTTCATGACACTCTGGCCCAGATACTACACTTTTCCCACAGTCGTCACAACCTGTAGACCAGGAGATTTCCTCCAGTGCCTGTAACACCAGGGCCCAGGTTTCCAGGACAAAATTGGGCAGCCATTTGGGTAGACACTGAGCTAGCCACAGGCAGCAGTTTTTTTTCCCCCCATACCCCAGTGGTGCCTGGAACACCAGCAAGACAGAACCATACACTCCCCTGCAAAAAGGGGCTGAAGCCAGGGAACCAAGTCAACTGGCTTAGTGAGTCCCACCCCATGAAGACCAGTGAGCTAAGATCCACTGGCTTGAAATTCTTGCAGCCACTACAGCAGTCTGAGCTTGACCTGGGATGTTCAAGCTCAGTGCAGGGAGAGGCATCTGCCATTGCTGAGGGTTGAGTAGGCGGTTTTAACCTCGCCTGTGCAAACAGTCACCAGGATATTTGAACAAGGTGAAGCCATTGCAGCTTAGCAAGGTCTCTGCAGGCAGACTGTGTCACCAGACTTCCTCCTCACCAGGCAGGGCATCTCTGAAAAAAGGCAGCAGCCCATCAGAGACTTACAAATAAGGCCCCCACCTTCCTGGGACAGAGAACCTGGGAAACGGAGCAGTAGTGGACACAGCTTCAGTAGACTTAAATATCCCTGTCTGGTAGCTCTGAATAGAGCAGCAGATTTCCCAGAACAGCATTTGAGCTCTGATAAAAGTCAGACTGCCTCCTCAAGTGGCTCCCTGAACCCTGTGTATCCTGACTAGGAGACACCTCCCAGAATGGGCTGACACCTCACACAGGAGAGCTCTGGCTGTCATGTGGTATGTACCCTTCTGGGATGTAACAGGCAGCAATCTGTGCTGTTCTGCAGTCCCTGCTGGTGATTCCCAGGCTAGCAGGGTCTGGAGTGGACCTCCACAAACTCCAGCAGAAGTTCAGCAGAGGGGCCTGTTAGAAGGAAAACTAAGAGTTTCAACATCAACAGAAGGGACATCCACTCAGAGACCCCATCAAATCATCAGCAACTTCAAAGACCAAAGGTAGATAAATCCATGAAGATGGGAAGAAGCCAGCACAAAAAGGCTGAAATTCCAAAAACCAGAATGCCTCTTGTCCAAGGAATCACAACTCTTCAGCAGCAAGGGAACAAAACCTGACACAGAATGACTTTGATGAATTGACAGAAGCAGGTTTCAGAAGGTGGGTAATAACAAACTTCTCTGAGCTAAAGGAGCATGTTCTAACCCAATTCAAGGAAGCTAAGAACCTTGAAAAAAGGGTTAGAGAAATGCTAACTAGAATAACCATTGTAGAGAAGAACATAAATGACCTGATGGAGCTGAAACACCAGCCGGAGAACTTCACAGAGCATACACAAATTTCAATAGCCAAATCAATCAAGTGGAAGAAAGGCTATCAGAGACTGAAGATCAACTTATTGAAATAAAATGAGAAGACAAAATTACAGAAAAAAGTGAAAAAAAAATGAGAAGAAAGCCTCCAAGAAATATGGATTATTTGAAAACATCAAATCCATGTTTGATCAGTGTACCTAAAAGTGATAGGGAGAATGAAACCAAGTTTGAAAACATCCAGGTGAATTTCCCCAACCTAGAAAGTCAGGCCAACATTCAAATTAAGGAAATACAGAGAACAGCACCTCAAGAAGAGCAACCCCAGATACATAACTGTAAGATTCACCAGGGTTGAAATGAAGGAAAAATGTTAAAGGCAGCCAGAGAGAAAGGGTGGGTTACCCACAAAGGGAATCCCATCAGACTATCAGCGGATTTCTTGACAGAAACTATACAAGCCAGAAGAAAGTGGGGGCCAATATTCAACATCTTTAAAGAAAAGGATTTTCAACCCAGGATTTCATATCCAGCCAAACTAAACTTCATAAGCAAAGGAGAAGTAAAATCCTGTATGGACAAGCAACTGCTGAGAGATTTTTGTCACCATCAGGCCTGCTTTATAAGAGCTCCAGAAGGAAGCACTACACATGGAAAGGAACAACCAGTATCAGACACTTCAAAAACATACCAAATTGTAAAGACCATCAACGCTACGAAGAAACTACATCAACTAACAGGAAAAACAACCAACTAGCATCATAAAGGCAGGATCAGATTCACACATAACAATATTAATATTAAATGTAAATGGGCTGATGCCCCGGTAGAAAGACACAGATGGACAAACTGGATAGGGTCAAGACCCCTTTAAAACATTTCCAACTTAAAGCAGAAAATTCAGTTCAACACAATATTTACAGTGCCTGCACCTTCTGGATAACTGAATTTCTACTTTATTCCTCACATCCTATGACACTCATTCATTATATGGTCACTCTATCAATAAATGTTTAATATGTTGTTTATTATGTGTTAGACTCTAGTCATACACTGGTGAAAATGATGGATAAGATTTTTAAACTCATGAACCTTATATTTCAGAGGGGGTTTACAGACAAGAATCATAATCAATACATAGCCATATGATAGAGCATGCCTGGGATGGGTGGGGGGGCAGAGACAGAGATGGGGAAGGGGGTGGCTGTTTATGGTATGGCAGTGAAAGCTTCTTTAGAAAGATGACATTTGAAGAGAGTCTATCAAGCAGCGGTCTTAAGAAAGAAGGAAAATGCAAGTGCAAAGAGAGTCAAGGTAGGAACTAACCTGAAGAAACATCTAGGAGGTGTTTGCTCTGGTACACAGAACAAGGAAAAGAATGGTATGAAATCAGGCAGACACTGGCAAGAACAAGATCATGTAGGAGGCTAGGAAAAGCAGTTTAGATTTTATTCTAATTGCCATTGAAAGACATTGGAGAGTTTTAAACAGGCTTATAATATTTTCTGATTTTAGAGTTTATAGGTCACTTATTACTATGTGGAGAATGGACTGTGAGGGGGCAAGCAGCTTGCTCCAAGTGGCAGAGACTAAGGCTGTAGTAATGGAGAAGATAACGAGTCAATGTATATAGCATGTTTTATATGGGAGCTGACAGGACTTGTTTATAAATTGACTGTAATTGTAAGGAGAAAGAGTAGAATCTAGGATAATGGCTATAGTGTCAATATTTATTGCAAGAGAGAAGGCAGGGCAAAAATTAGGGGCTTAAGGGAATGCAAGTTCCCCTGGGGCAGGGGATTATTTTTCTTCCCCTATCTCTCACATACACCTGAAGTGGTAAACTGGGAGAAAAGAAAGAAAGACAAAACATTGAGAATCAGATCATACCAGTGATACTCATCCAATCCAAAGTGCTGGAGTAACAGCTTTGATGGAGAGAAAGAAAAGAGCTGTGAACCTATGACAGAGAGAAAGAAAAGAGCTTTGAATAAATGTCTGAAGTTTTAAAACAAATAGGTTGTGTCTTAGAAACTGCACCCAATACAGGAGCACCCAGATTCATAAAGAAGTTCTTGGAGACCTATAAAGAGACTTAGACTTCCACACAATAATAGAGGGAGACTTTAACACCCCATTGTCAGTATTAGACAGATCAAGGCAGAAAATTAACAAGGATATTCAGGACTTGAACTCATATCTGGACCAAGCGGAACTAATAGACATCTATAGAACTCTCCACCCCAAATCCACAGAATATCCATTTTTTCTCAGCACTGCATTGCACTTATTCTGAAATTGACCACATAATTGGAAGTAAAACACTCCTCAGCAAATGCAAAAGAACAGAATTCATAAGAAACAGTCTCTCAGACCACAGTACAATCCAATAAGAACTCAGGATTAAGAAACTCACTCAGAACTGCACAACTTCACTGAATGACCTGTTCCTGAATGATTACTGGATAAATAATGAAACGAAGGCAGAAATAAAGATGTTCTTAGAAACCAATGAGAATGAAGACACAATGTACCAGAATCTCGGACACATGTAAAGCAGTGAGTAGAGGGAAATTTATAGCACTAAGTGCCCACAAGAAAAAGGAGGAAAGATCTAAAACTGACACCCTAACATCACAATTAAAAGAATAGAGGAGCAAGAACAAACAAATTCAAAAGCCAGCAGAAGACAAGAAATAACTAAGATCAGAGCAGAATGGTAGGAGATAGACACACACACACAAAAAACCCTTCAAAAAAAATCAATGAATCTAGGAGCTGGTTTTTTGAAAAGATCAACAAAATAGACCACTAGCCAGACTACTAAGAAAAGAGAGAAGAATCAAATAGGGGATATCACCACCAATCCCACAGAAATACAAATTACCGTCACAGAATACTATAAACACCTCTATGCAAATAAACCACAAAATATAGAAGAAATGGATAAATTCCTGGACACTTACACCTTCCCAAGACTAAACCAGGAATAAGTCAAATCCCTGAATAGACCAATAACAAGGTCTGAAATTGAGGCAGCAATTAATAGCCTACGAACCAGAAAAAGTCCAGGGCCAGACAATGTCACAGCTGAATTCTACCAGAGGTATAAAAGGAGCTGGTACCATTCCTTCTGAAACTATTCCAAACAATAGAAAAAGAGGGAATCCTCCCTAACTCATTTTATGAGACCAGCATCATCCTGATACCAAAACCTGGCAGAGACACAACTAAAAAAAGAAAATTTCAGGCCAGTATCCATGATGAACACTGATGCAAAAATCTCAATAAAATGCTGGCAAACCAAATCCAACAGCACATCAAAAAGCTTATCCATCAGGATCAAGTCACCTTCAAGGGATCTGCAAGGCCGGTTCAACATCCGCAAATCAATAAATGTAATCCATCACATAAACAGAACCAAAGACAAAAACCACGATTGTCTCAATAGATACAGAGAAGGCCTTCAACAAAATTCAACAGCCCTTTATGCAAAAACTCTCAATAATCTAGGTATTGATGGCATGTATCTCAAAATAATAAGAGCTATTTGTGACAAACCCGCAGCCAATATTATACTGAATGGACAAAAACTGGAAGTATTCCCTTTGAAAACTGGCACAAGACAAAAACACGCTGTTTCACCACTCCTATTCAACATAGTATTGGAAGTTCTGTCCAGGGCAATCAGGCAAGAAAACGAAATAAAGAGTATTCAATTTGGAAAAGTGAAGTCAAATTGTCTTTATTTGCAGACAACATGATTGTATATTTGGAAGACCCCCATCGTCTCAGTCCCAAATCTCCTTAAGCTGATAAGCAACTTCAGCAAAGTCTCAGGATACAAAATCACTGCAAAAATCACAAGCATTCCTATATGCTAATAACACAGAGCCAAATCATGAGTGAACTCCCATTAACAATTGCTACAATGAGAATAAAATAGGAATAGAACTAACGAGGGATGTGAAGGATCTCTTCAAGGAGAACTAGACACCTCTGCTCAAGGAAATAAGAGGGGACACAAACAGATGGGAAAACATCAAATGCTCAAATTACGAAAAATCAGTATCTTGAAAATGGCCATACTAGCCAAAGTAATTTTTAGATTCAATGCTATCCCCACCAAGTTACCACTGACTTTCTTCACAGAATTTGAAAAAAACCACCTTAAATTTCACATGCAACCAAAAAAATCGCCCGCATAGCCAAGACAATTCTAAGCAAAAAAAAAAAAACCAAGCTGGAAGCATCATGCTACCTGACTTCAAACTATACTACAAGGCAACAGTAATCAAAACAGTCTGGTACTGGTCCCAAAATGAGCTATAAACGAATGGAACAGAATAGAGGCCTCAGAAATAATGCCACACATCTACAACTATCTGATCTTTGACAAACTTGATAAAAACAAGCAATGGGGAAAGGATTCCTTATTTAATAAATAATGTTGGGAAACGGGCTAGCCATATACAGAAAGCTAAAACTGGATCCCTTCCTTACACCTATACAAAAATAAACTCAAGATGGATTAAAGATTTAAATGTAAGACTTAGCACTACAAAAACCCTAAAAGAAAACCTATGCACTACCATTCAGGTTGTAGGCATGGGCAAAGACTTCATCACTAAAATACCAAAAGCAATGGCAACAAAAGCAAAATAGACGAATGGGATCTAATTAAACTAAAGGGCTTCTGCACAGCAAAAGAAACTATCATTAGAATGAACTGGCAACCAACAGAATGGGAAAACATTTTTGCAATCTACCCATCTGACAAAGGGCTAATATCTAGAAACTACAAGGAACCCTAACAAATTTACAAGAAAACAACCCCATCAAAAAGTAGGCAAAGGATATGAACAGACACTTCTCAAAAGAAGACATTTATGCAGCCAATTAATATATAAACATATGAAGAAAGCTCATCATCACTGGTCATTAAAGAAATGCAAGTCAAAAACCACATTGAGATACCATCTCATGCCAGTTAGAGTGGTGATCATTAAAAAGTCAAGAGACAACAGATGCTGGAGAGGATGTGGAGAAATAGGAATGCTTTTACACTGCTGGTGGGAATATAAATTAATTCAACCATTGTGGAAGACAGTGTGGTGATTCCTCAAGAATCTAGAACTAGAAATAGAAATACCATTTGACCCAACAATCCCATTATTGGGTATATATCCAAAGGATTATAGATCATTCTATTATAAAGTCACATGCACAGGTATGTTTATTGCAGCACATACAGTAGCTCACAATAGCAAAGACTTGGAACCAACCCAAATGCCCATCAGTGATAGACTGGATGAAAAAAATGTGATACATATACACCATGAAATACTATGCAGCCATAAAAGAGGATGAGTTCATATCCTTTTCAGGGACATAGATGAAGCTGGAAACCATCTTTGTCAGCAAACTGACACAAGAACAGAAAACCAAACACCGCATGTTCTCACTCATAAGTAGGTATTTAACAATGAAAACCATTGGACACAAGGAGGGGAACATTGCATACTGGGGCCTGTCGGGGGATGGGAGAGAGATAGCAGGGAGTTGGGGGGACTGGGGGAGGGATAGTGTTAGGAGAAATACCTAATGCAGATGACAGGGTGATAGATGCAGCAAACCCCCATGGCACGTGTATACCTATGTAACAAACCTGCCTGTTCTGTACATGTACCCCAGAACTTAAAGTATAATAACAAAAATAAAAGATTGAAATGGGACCATATAATTCAAACTAGCCTAAAAAGTTAGGGAATTGGTCAAATGATGTTGGAAAGATGCAACCCAATGGGAAGAGAAGCTCTGATATTACACATCTGAAAGCAGTAATAGGAAAAAATCACTTTTATGTTTGTTCCTGAGGTTTTTTTAAAATACTTGATAAACCAGGTACCATGAGTGATTCAAGAATGAGGAAGCGGTCAACTGTGTCAAAAGCTGCTGAGAAGTTTAATCAAGTAAGACAGAACTTATTTTAGCAGTTTTCTGCAATATGTTTGTTAATAGCCGATTGCCTTGATGTGGCCTTTTATTAAAGTGGTAGAGACACCAAAGTCTGATTGGCAGGGGTTAAAAAAAAGAGTACAGGAAGTGAGTAAATGAAGGTAACAAAGATAAGCGTTTTAAAAAGGTTAGCCACACCATCCTGAGAAAGATACAAAGGCAGACCATTTTTAACCATAATATCTGCTTAATTTCTAGCATGATTCAAAGAGATGTCAATATTATTTTCAGGCAATCATCTGCAACCAAAATATAGATGGTATAGAAAAAGAATAATTTTGATATCATTTTTTGTTTTCTTACCTTCACTCATTAAATTTAATGTGTCTTGTTTTCCATCTCCTTCTTGTAACTGGCCCGGATCCAGAGAAGTCTGAGAAAGACTAACTTCTGCTGACAACTGGTCAAGACTTTGATAACTTTTCCTGTAAAGCAAAGAAGAAACACTACTTGAATTTCCTCTCACAAAAAAAGAATTTCTTGAGCAGTTCTCTAATGGCATTTGCAATTTGTTAAATTTCTGGTTAAAATTCTCCCCAGTATTTCCAGTAATTTTGCTTCATATTCTTGGCTTCAGTGCAATCTACATTACACCTTCCCTCTATCCTCTTTCATGGCATATGTGTTTAATCCATTGGAAAACAGAAAAGAAAGACAATTTGTCAGACATAATCCTCATACCAATTTTTGATTACACAGATGGTTAAGAAATGAGAACTTATGGTTATTACCAATTTTCAAAGAACAGAAAATCTTCAGATTGCTCTTAATGAAGATATAAAGTTAGCATAACAATAATGACCTAGTGTCTCTTAAGCACTTCAGAATTCTTCAGTGGCTTGACATTATTACAGATGGCCTTGATGTTATTACAGATTATATAGCAACAAAAATAAATTATTATTATAAATTCCTGGAATTAAGAAATTTACAAAGTGCTGGATAATAAATACCTGTTTGTATTAATATACATCAAGATGATTAAACTCTTCTCATCTAGTTGCTATTTTGAGGCCCATTTTCTATTAAGCTAATACAAAGTTAAGTATATTTAATAATAAATTCAGTTATAAATGGAAAGTTAATAAAAGCTTATTATGAACCTTTCCTCATATTTTGTTCTTCAGGATAAAACCAACTCAAAAGATAAATGCATCTTTAGTGTTATATTTTACATAAGGAAAATTATTATTTCCATATATAAGTGGTCTAGGGAAATCATATGTTTTTCAGCCTCAATATCTACCTCCCAAGATAGCCAAACACCATCTAATTTTCTAGAAATATATTTTACAATAATTTTTATAGGAATGCACATATAATTTAAATGATCTGTTTCACAGCTCTCTCTATTCATATACACAAATGTAGACAGTTAAAGATTTTCAAAAATATGTATATTAAATGTTATCTGAATGCTTATGTTTAGTCCCCATTTTATGTTAATCATGACTCAATTCAAAATGGGGAGAAAAGGGGAAAAATAATTTGCTTTAGTAAATGAATAACAAACCAGATTGACAGTTTAAAGTTTATAAAGTGTTCTCACCGTATAATATGACTTTTACATGTTCATAGTATTAAAGTCCTTAGTTAAAATAATTTTTTTAAGTACCAGGAAATTATACTATTTCAGGAAACTTATGACCATTACAACAGATAACATTTATATGAGCTATGTAATGTGCAATAAAAATGATTTCTAATATTTACATAGCACTTACTATATGCTAGGCACTTGTTTACATATATATATACATGAACTTATTTCATCCTCACAACTACCATAAGAAGCTAGAATTATTACTATCTACACTTTATGGCAGAATAAACTGGGTCACAAAAAGATTAGATTTAAACCTGTTAGTCTGGCTCTAATTCTCTCTCCTTAACTACTATGCTATCTACTCCACAGCACAGGAAGAAAATATATAGCTTCCTATTTAATTAAAAATCCTTCTCCAAGAATAGCCTTGTTTAATGAGATAGATCATGTAAACTATTTAATCATATCACAGAAAATTTCACTTGATTTTCATTAAAATCTTATTTCTTTAGCTAGAGAAGAAAGCAGTCATACCAAATGTTTTGGTATGACTCTTAGTGGTGGATCACTTGGCTTGTGCATTAAAAAAAAAAAAAAAAAAGAAGCAGGAACATAGGAATTTAAAAAGCAGTTATAAATACATTTTCTTTCCAAATTATTTTTTCTGTGCACAGGAAGTAGGAGGCTTACTTTTTAACTTGAATGATAGCTAAAGATGACTTTCTGACACTGATTTTTAATCACAAAAACTTGGTAATATTTCTAAATTTAAAAAATTATTTATAGAAATATTCACAAACAGTATAAAATACCCATAAGCAAAAAGACATAGAATTCATCCAAATATTGTAAGGACTAAAAATCTGACAGTACGCCTTTACAATACTCTCCAAGACTCTCCAAGAGGGAAGAAACCTGAAGCGGCTTCTGACAACAGTAACACGTCATGAGCTTTCTGCATAACCTACTGAGGTTCTTTTTAGAATACCATATTTCTGAATCCAAAGTGGTGTTAGAGTCTTTCTCCCCTTTAATTTGTCACAGTTAGTAAACAATTCTTGAGTTTAGAACTTAACCAAATGCAAATGAATATGGAAATAGAATTTGGTAGATGATGTTCTAAAGCAGTAACAAAAATTCCAACCCAAAATTAAGTACCTCATTGGTAAAATATTGAGAATTGTACCTTACAATATCTTCTTTGCATGAAAATGACCACAAATCCACTATCTAGAAGGAGACAAATTCAGTTATTTCAGTAATGGCTAAAAATGGGTTTGGTTTCCCCATTTTTACCTGATTTCCAATGTGACTGGCAGCTCGATCTGACATTTTGTTGTCATGCGGTAAAAGATCTATGAGAGCTCTGTCTTTATAAGGCCATGACTAAGCCCTGTCTTAGAATCCTTGACTCATCAACATCACACAGTAAGACTAAAAGTAATTCACCAGACCCATTAGTCCAATTAACAGCTATTACTATTTCTCAGAAAATAATTTTTTATCAGTAGCTTAATTAAAATAAGAACCCAAGAGCCGGGCGCGGTGGCTCAAGCCTGTAATCCCAGCACTTTGGGAGGCCGAGGCGGGTGGATCACGAGGCCAAGAGATCGAGACCATCCTGGTCAACATGGTCAAACCTCATCTCTACTAAAAATACAAAAAATTAGCTGGGCATGGTGGCGCGTGCCTGTAATCCCAGCTACTCAAGAGGCTGAGGCAGGAGAATTGCCTGAACCCAGGAGGCGGAGGTTGCGGTGAGCCGAGATCGTGCCATTGCACTCCCGCCTGGGTAACAAGAGCGAAACTCCATCTAAAAAAAAATAAAAATAAGAACCCAAGACAGTAAGAGTCATGCATTCTAATTATACAAAACTTTGTAGTTTAGTCTTTACCTTTCCATTGTTAAATGTAATTTATTTTATTTATTTTGAGATGGAGTCTCACTCTGTTGCCCAAGCTGAAATGCAATGGCACGATCTCAGTTTACTGCAACCTCTGCCTCCTAGGTTCAAGCGATTCTCCTGTCTCAGCCTCACAAGTAGCTGGGATTACAGGTGTGTCCCACCATGCCCGGCTAATTTTTGTGTTATTAGTGATGTGGTTTCACCAAGTTGGTTAGGCTTGTCTCAAATTCTGGATCTCAGTGATCCACCCTCCTTGGCCTTCCAAAGTGTTGGAATTACAGAAGTGAACCACTGCACCTGGCCATTTTTAAATATAATTTAAATTAAGCTTGTAGGAATAATGTCATAGGTGTTTGGGAAAATCTACTAAATTCAACATCGATTTTAACATTTTTAAAGCTCAAATATAAACATGTATACATGAGACTGGATAACAAAGCAAATCAAAAGGAAATTCAGAAATAGTTCTGAATTTACTTGTTAATAAATTTTCTACAATCTTATACTTTATATCAATAATCAGAAGTAATAAATGGTTTATCTATGCATTTGACCCATTTTCCTAGTATTGTTAAGGTCAATAATAATTTACATTATCTGGTAGTCACTGGGCAACAGAGAGTGTGATACATAGGAGATAAGCATTATCCACATGTAGAAAATAAAAACAAATATATGTATGTTATATACACAGAAGCACATGAATGTATATCAAGACAAAGATACACTTTTTGTTCTCTGTTTTCACAGAAATATGTCTAAGGAACAAAATAATCATTTGCTATAAGAAAATATCTACATTTTCTTAATTTATTAAAATCAACAGAAGGATGCAAGGAAAGCCTAACAAGGAAGTGCATATGTGAATTAGGTCAATGCCCAGTTTACAAATTGTAAAATATTTCTGCAGCTAGGGACTCCTACTCCAAAAATATTTGAAAGACATAAATGGGAAGGAGAACTGTGAATACATATGAAGTGAAAGTCATTATAAACAATTAAAAGCCTAAATAGATCATGAAAGAACATAAGAGCTCATGATTCTCAATAATTTTGCAATATGATATGAATGATGGCCAAATTGGAAAACGATGATAAATTGTAAAGACTAAATATACTTAAGTAGAAAATATGATGACAATGAATCTAATATTTTGGGGTAAGAATGGGTGAGTTAGGCAACAATCTAATAAGATTATGTAACAGATAACCTAACAGAACTATTTAACAAACTGCTGTGACCGAGACTTTACATATATAGATAGATATAGATATAGATATAGATAGATATAGATATAGATATAGATATTAAAGCAGAACTTATTGGAAACAAATAAGTAAATAATTATTCTATATGTGTGTGTTAAGGGAACATGTTTTATACACTTATTTATTGTTTGATTTTTACAGTAAGTGTCATGCTTACAATATTTACTATTATGTTACATTATTAAAGCATAACAGGCTTTTACAGTTAAAGTATTGCAGATTTTTACATATCATATTAAATTGTTAAAGCATGATAGGCATACTGTAAAAACCTATATTTCAGACATCCCATATCATGTTTGAAATACAGGAAAATGTATGCAATCCAGCAGAGCTAATCTTGCTGGGTCTAAGTAATCAATAAATAAACTGAAAATTGTATTTTTAAAATTTTATAAACAGTAAAGATAAATAAATTTAAGATCTTCAATTATGAGAGGGATCCTTCCATGAGTAGGTGACAATATGACCAAATTATTCAGTAGCTTGATTTAAGGAGACTAACAAATTCATTAAATCAAACAACACAATGTTGTTAAATTCAACAAACAGGAGGCCATTAGCCTAATGCTGTCCTCTACTCTGAGTTCCTAGTAACAAACTGCAACCTAATTTAGTAAACAAACCAAAGCCTAATTCAGGAGATTTTTTTGGTAACAAACAGCCTGGTTTCAGCTAATCACAAACAGCTGAGATTCAGTTAATCACAGAAAGCAAACTAATCACACCATGCTAAATAAGGTATTTGCTTAGCGTAGCCAATCAGATAAATTCTCTGCTTTGCTTTTATTTGGCCTATAAAAGCTTGCTACATCCACTGCTGGGCAGAGTTTTCTGAACCTTTTCTGATTTTGAATGTTGCTGATTCATGAATCATTTGCTCAAATAAACTCTGTATAACTTAATTTGTCTCAAGTTTTTCTTTTAACACTCTCTTCTTAAATTGTCTTTGGTTAGCTGATTGAATGGAGTGACAGAGTTCCTAGAAAAGTAGCTATAGACATCCCATATATTTACTAGGAAAAATCATCTACTGTCATTAAAACTGTAATGAATTATAGGGTCAGTTTCTTTCTCCAGATTGTCAAGAGTGCTAATGTTCCTTATTAAAGAGGTTTTAGCCATCCCCTTCATAATTTGTAGGTTCTCAATAAATGTCTGTTGAACTTACTTAAGATATTGGTCTAATCAAAAGGAATCCATGATCAGGTAGTTCAGGAGTCTGAACTATAAAAGTTCATATATTAAACTTTTTTAAAAGTTCGAAGAGACAAAAAACTGGATCTTGATGAAAAGCTGTGATTGGTTTCAAACATGATTTTTATGGTGAACTCTATTCTGAAAATCCAAAGCCTCCATTTTATATGTGACAATTGGGTTTATTTATTGAGAACAATTGGGGATGAGCTGGTCATTTAAATTTTACATAAGGTTCAGAAAGTTTAGACGTTAGGTGGGTATACATGCTCCAAACATGGAAGATACAGGGTTACATTAGAGTAGAAACATAAGACTTCATAAATATTTACTGAGAAGCTAGCTATTAGGTGCCAGCAATTTATTACCTCACTTGATCTTTATAATTCTGTTAGACATGTATTATCCTCAGTATTACATGTGCATAAAGAAAAGGGTAAGGAGAGGAAGTATTGCTCAGTGTTACATAGTAAGTAAGTAGCAGAGATTACTACCAGTCCTGGCTTTAAACTGTAGGTAAAGTGATCTCTGTACAACACCCTTGCTGCATACTTTTTTGTTTGGGGATATCAGTTTTGAAACAGTGCCATACAAAAGCAGTATCAACCTCTGAGGACAGGCTAGATTAAAGAATGATGCTAGGATATCCTTTCTTAAGCTGGTGGAAAACTGAGTCAAGAAGTATAAATCTAGATCCATGATAAACAGATGAACAGGAAGTTTCCTTGCCTTCTTTTCTGAGACCACAATTATCCGCTGCTACAGTACTTTGTAAAAACCAGCCACTATTGCATATGCAGGAGGAAACTAGAAATTGATCTTCCACTTTAGATTTCTTACTGGCTTCTCAATAGATAACTCTATAGGAAGGCAACTGTATACATTTTCTGGCTAAAATATTTGACCTCTCAATGTGAATATTACAATAAACAGGCATAGTCTTTTAACTTAGGTTTTAATGCTGTCTTAATATTTTTGCAGTTAAAAGACAGGAACATCTCATATGTCATATGTAGACAAGGTAAGTGTACCAAGAATTGCTACAAATTTAATTTTTCAATCATAAATTAAAAATAGAAATAAATTCTTCTATTAATTAAACCCACAGGAAGGAAAATTATATACCAGCATGAGATATGTTCTAGTTATTAATAACTTTCATAAGGGTATATAAGGGAACTAGATCCCAATTTATAAATATGCAAAATCAGTACCTTGAACCATACTATGTATGGCTTAGTAGATGTTGAAGAGAGTTTTGATTTATTCTGCAAACAATATGTTCATCTTTTCTTATCTCTAATAATCAATGAAACAAGAAAAAGCATTGCAGTCTCCAGTACTTGTTTTTAACAACAAATAATGAAATTTTCTTTGAATTCTGCCTTTGAAAAACAAAACACATCACAGAGTAAAGCAGGTGGAAATTGTTTGTATTAAAATATTCCTTGTAGAAATATCTGGCCACTAATAACCTGGTGAAAGGTACCCTAAGAAGCATACATAGATAGGTGACTCTACCAGGGAAATTTACAAGCAAGGACTCTAAAAGACTAGAGAAAGAAACAAAAAGAGATAGGAAAAAGGGAGAAAAGAAGAAAGGAAAGACAAAATAGAGAAAATAAGAGAAAAGAGAGAGAAAGGAGAGAGGGAAGGAAATAAATCAAACAGAAGGGGATGAAAGGGAGGGATATCAGGAAAAACAGAAAATTAGCTTAAGACAGAAAAATTAAAATAGTGAAAAAGTGATTAAGGTGGGAAAGTCAGTAATACAACTTACGAACTTAGAGTTTCAAGATGAAGATTACCTGAAGGAAAACAGCCTGAGATTTTGCAGCTCTCTCAATATTAGGATACTGTAACTAAATGAAATAGTCCTGAACATTAGGACAAATAAATGAGAAAAAGATCTTGTGGCCCATAGGTGAAGTCTTTATATCTTCTACAGTTTCTAAAAAATCAGATTTATGGAAAATGAATAGAATTCTTCAGACCCACCCAGAACAAGTAATATCTTTCTATTCTTTCAAACTGTGTTTTATGACATGTGGGAAAATTAGTCCTAAGGCAAATACCACACCAATGCTAGAATTCAAAAATAGATGGCTCATTAAACACAAGCTCATAGATTTAACTGAAGGACTGCCTGAAGATTCAACAAAAGGAAAAGCAGACAGCTGGTCCAATATGGCCTAAGAATTTCTCAGATAATCTAACCTTACTAAAGTAGTCCTAAAACTTGTCTTTGCTAAGATAATAAATAAATTTAGAAAGAGTAACTAAGAAACTAAATCGGATAGCCACTAACCATTAATTAGTTGGAAAAAAAAGTATTACACTTACTCATACCACTGTTTATTGTGTTTTCGGTAAAGCAACGTATCCAAGGCAACAGCATTGACATCCAGAGCTCCTGGGGAAGGCCACTGGTTGGTGAGATGGGCAGTTAACTCTTGTCTTGATCTTAAATCATTATTCTTTAGCACAGTCCTGTGAATATTAAGATGGTGAGTGCTTTTGTCTTCACTGTTCTACAATGGCAGAGGAACCTAATGGTATCAATTTAGGTCCCCAAAATTTATCTTTTTAAAATGGTACGTTAATAGATTGTGAACAGAACTACAGCAAGGATGGTTGGGACAATGACTGTTTGTTCTCCTGCAATAGGTGTTCTTCATTTTTTTTCTGCTGGTTACAACAAATCACTGCTTGTGAAGTTCAGACTGACTGTCTTTTCACATTATTACTAAAGTACTAAAGAACTCAAGCAGCATTTTATATCTTCACTAAAAGGAAGTGATTAAAGGTACAGGTTATCAAGCCAATTAAAATATTTAAAAAGTAAAGATTCCATGTGTATGATTTCCTAGCCTCAAAACTCAGAAGCAATCTATGAAAGTAATTTAATTCAAGTGAAGGAAAAGCAATTACAATGAAAAATTAAAATAAAACTGCAGAAAAATATAAAAATCCATGAGATTCTCCTACGTATTTTTCCTTTTAACACACTGTTGCTGGCTTGAATCCCATAACTGTTTTTGAAAAAAGTAACTACTGGCAAATCTTCATGAAAATGATTAAATCAATGACAACTACACTGAGCAGTATAATCCACTATAAATGTTTTAACTGCAGAATGAAGCCATTGTAACAATCCACAGTTTTAACTTTTATAGAACTGTTACTTGCTAATAACAACTTAGAAAAGAATTTGCTTTTTGCTAAAATTTCTGACTTCACAAACGAACTAATCATTGTCACAGGACTAATTCAACATTTAATTTGATGGTTAAAAAAGAATTTAAAAGCAAAGGTCTTACTCTACCTCTAAAAGGCCTTAAAGTACCATTTAGGTAACCTGCATCCTCCAACAGGAGTCCATGGCTTTAGTGTGCCAATGTTCTGAGCCATCAATTCAGAAGCAGGGAAGTAATATGTGCCTGCCACTAACTTCCACAGATAAAAGTCCTGTTGTGGGTAACAGAGAGGCGAGTCAGTGAGGTAAGGGCAGCACAATACTGCACTAAAGAAAATCAGCCTGTACTCCACCCTGGCTGTTTACAATGATACTAATGATATAACTATATTTCATTTGTCTCTTAACAGGCTGCAGATTGATACTTCTGTTTTTATGGGGTATCTATGTGCACTGAAAATATTTGTTCTACTATGTCAACAAAGAAACACTATCTGATGTGAATACTAGATTCTGTCTCAGGATGGAATGCTAAAATAGGCCAAAGTTAGCAAATGAATCCCATTAAGATATTATTTTAGCCTAGTTGCCACAATTTCATTTCACTGGAAAAGAAATGAAAGTTTTAAAAGGACTTTTAAAGTACTGGAACATTTTTTTAAATGAAAACAGTAAAGCTTTACAAAGAGAGTGGGAAAATTTTAAGACCAACAGAAAAATTATGCAAAACAAAAATAGGAAGTATTTGCCAGAAAATCTATTATGATAAACTACTATTATTTTGGATTCTCTTAGTTTATTCTCTATCATATATTCCGTTTCTTGAGGAAATCTAGTGAACATCACTGGAAAACTCAACTTCAATGTTATAATTGGCTTACAGAAAATATTCAGGCACAATGTGGGAAAAGCAAATGTGCATTTATGAGGAAATGGCACTAGTAGAACACAGTTAATAATTAAACAACCTATAATTTAGAATGTACTCTTTCTGGAAAGTGAAAAGTTTTATACTTCATTAAATGGAAAAGAGAACTGAAGTTCCACAATTGTTTTTATATAACTGTTGTCCATGGAGATTTTTGCCTAATGACAAATTAAGGTACTGTCTTTAGACCTTTGTCCTAGAAATCCTAATGATGTTTTATGAACAGTTGCCTGGTCCTCTGAAACAGGAGATAAAAGATTTCAGTGTATGGAAAAGGTATAGTTTTCTCCCACACAGCATCTATTCCCATTCTTTTGTGAAGAATGTGGAGACAATAAATCCTGGCACTTGCTTTGCCACTGTGAAGAGGAAAGGTTCCTGGAGAATCCTTGTGTAAGGCCTTTTCTTTCACCACTCAAGTACACTACGGGACAGGCAAGTGAATTAAGTTAGGTTGAGAACCTCATCCTTGTATTTTTCATCTGTTTAGAGTAATAAATAAACAAACCAGTTTAATCACTTTACCATGCCCTGAACAGAATGTCCCAGCAAAGAGACATTACTGCAGTTCCCACTTCCAGCCCTTTGGAGTAGCTCAATCTCCTTTTTTCTAAGTCTATTTATCCAGTCTTTCTATCTACTCTGTGAGTTGCTGATGTCTTTATAATGAATTGTATTTGTGGACAACAGTTTATTGTGGTTGCTTGCAACCAAAGAATCCTATCACTTACCCTAGGACCAGTGAAATATACCCAGTTAATATCAAAACCTACTCAAAAGTTTTGATATTAATGTTAATATGAAGGATAATTATATTTTATCTTAATTGGCCAAGGTTAAAAATGGTTTCAACTTAAATTACTCAATAATTGCCATTATTTCATGATATTGTCAGTGATAATTAAAGGTTAAATATGTGATATCTAGCATTTAACTTTAATTAAAACTCTAACCAATGCTGAAGTTAGTCTGCTATCCAAAAATTGAATTATTTTATATGTTTTATTGCATTTATCACTTTTCTATAAGTCAATTTATCATTCCCTCACTAAGACAATGATTCTATAGAAGGAACACTGAAGGAAAATTGTTTAATTTATTATGAAAGTAGCAAGAGTAGATTTATCACAGCTAATTTTCTGAACTTTCCTGTAGTATCTACCTCTAAATTTCTAGATAGCCAGTTTCTCTTTAGATTTTCAATAGGAATTATTTAGGAATTTGGCTTCTCAAAATAACATAATTTAATTTAGATTACTGTAATGATATAAAACCATTAAAGAAAGAATCTCTTTATATGGATTTTAAGCTACATTATAAGATTCTGACACTTATAAAGCTTAAATACAGCTACTGAGACAGCCAGTTATAAGGCCACTATATCAGGGAAACATATTTAAAACTCAAGTTTACTTATATACTGAAAGTCTTATCATCTCCTTGTCTTTGCTCTCCCAGCATTAACTATATCCCTACTATCATTCAAAAGATCCAAATTCCATCCATTTTACAAGGTCCATTTGGTTTTCTACCTAATTCAAAAAGATCTTCAGATTACTTCTGTTCACAGTGATACAACTTGTATTGCTTTGTAGTGAATCTCAAACAGTTTAATAATTATTTAAATATTTTAATGTTTTATGGATCTTCTACTTTGCTTATAAGCTACTTGGGAGCAGTATCTTTGTTTCATATTTATTTACTGTAAGTGGCTATCATAACATTGGACATATTGCTGAATCTCCTCAACATACAATTCACATGACCACTAAATGAAAACTTCTCCAGCTTGATGCCTCATATGGATTCTTGCTGATTTCACCTCATAACGCAAAGTGTTAAACTAAAAATTTAGATTAAATCTGCAAACTATTTCACACACAGCATTTTCATGACAATTGAAAAAATATATTCACAATAATATCATGTAACTGTATTAGGTAGGCAGCAGAGGACACACTTAAAATATGTGAAGAAACAATCATCTGGTCTCAGTACAGTGTTCTCTTGCTGCTCTGCTGCCCCACTCCTCTGCCAGTCGCATTGGAAGAAGCATCGGCAATGGTTCTGGCATGTGCAAAGCTGGCTTTGCTGAGGAGGACGCCCCCCGAGCCATCTTTCCCTCCATTGTTGGGCACCCTCGTACCAGGGTGTGATGGTTGGCATGGGCCAGAAGAACTCCTACATGGGCGACAAGGCCCAAAGCAAGCACGGCATCCTGACCCTGAAGTACCCCATTGAGCATGGCATTGTCACCAATTGGGATGACACGGAGAAAATCTGGCACCACATGTTCTACAACAAGCTGCGTGTGGCCCTGGAGGAGCACCCCATGCTGCTGACTGAGGCCCCTCTGAACCCCAAGGCCAACAGAGAGAAGATGACTCAGATCCTGTTTGAGACCTTCAACACCCCAGCCATGTATGTGGCTATCCAGGCCATGCTGTCCCTCTATGCCTCTGGGCACACCACTGGCATTGTCATGGACTCTGGAGACGGGGTCACCCACACGGTGCCCATTTAAGAGGGCTGTGCCCTTCTCCACACTATCCTGCATCTGGACCTGGCTGGCCAGGACCTGACCAACTACCTCATGAAGATCCTCACCTAGCGCAGCTACAGCTTCACCACCACGGCTGAGCGGGAGACCATCCATGACATCAAGGAGAAGCTGTGCTACGTCACCCTGGACTTCGAGCAGGAGATGACCATAGCTGCATCCTCCTCCTCTCTGGAGAAGAGCTATGAGCTGCCTGATGGCCAGGTCATCACCATTGGTAATGAACGGTTCCGGTGTCTAGAGGCGCTGTTCCAGCCTTCCTTTCTCAGCATGGAATCTTGTGGCATCCATGAGATCACCTTCAACTCCATCATGAAGTGTGATGTGGACATCCATAAAGACCTGTACGCCAATGCTGTGCTGTCTGGTGGCACCACAATGTACCCAGGCATCACAGACAGGATGCAGAAGGAGATCACCACCCTGGCACCCAGCACCATAAAGATCAAGATTATTGCACCCCCAGAGCATAAGTACTCCATGTGGATTGGCGGCTCCATCCTGGCCTCACTGTCCACCTTCCCGGTGGATTAGCAAGATGTGGATTAGCAAGCAGAAGTACGATGAGTCTGGCCCCTCCATCGTCCACTGCAAATGCTTCTAAATGGACTGCGAGCAGATGCATAGCATTTGCTGCATGAGTTAATTCGGCAGTATAAATTTGCCACTGGCCAATGCATACACCTCATGCTAACCTCACAAAACTGGAATAAGCCTTTAAAAAGAAATTGTCCTTGAAGCTTGTATCTGATATCAGCACTGGATTGTAGAACTTGTTGCTGATTTTGACCTTGTATTCAAGTCAACTGTTCCCCTTGTTATTTAATAACCTGTACATGTCTTTGATTTCAACCTTTATAGTACATGTGACTTGGTCACTCGTGGCTGATGTAAAAACGTGCTTGTGGACAGACAAGTCTGGCTTGGTGAGTCTGTGTGGCCAGCAGACTCCTATCTGTGCAGGGTATTCATGTGTCAAGGCTGAGTGTTCTGGGATTGCTTTACAGGCTGGCAAAGTCCAAGCCATAGGACCCGGTTTCCTTTCTTAGCTGATGTTTTCCTGCCAGAGCAATGTGGACTATTACTTGCCTTGAGTTGGAAGCAGTTTGCATTTACACCTGTAAATGTATTCATCCTTTTAATTTATGTAAGTTTTAATTTATGCAACTCTCGATTCTTTAAAGAGATGACACAAATTTTGGTTTTCTACTGTTATGTGAGAACATTTGGCCCCAGCAACACGTCATTGTGTAAGGAAAAATTAAAGTGCTTCCATAAAAAAAAAGAAAAGAAAAAGAAACAATCATCTAAAAGTCTTCATGATTGTTACATTTTTCATTAGAAACATCCTTATAGGCCGGGCGCGGTGGCTCAAGCCTGTAATCCCAGCACTGTGGGAGGCTGAGGCGGGTGGATCACGACGAGGTCAAGAGATCAAGACCATCCTGGTCAACATGGTGAAACCCCGTCTCTATTAAAAATACAAAAAATTAGCTGGGCGTGGTGGTGCGCGCCTATAATCCCAGCTACTCAGGAGGCTGAGGCAGAAGAATTGCCTGAACCCAGGAGGCGGAGGTTGCGGTGAGCCGAGATTGCGCCATTGCACTCCAGCCTGGGTAACAAGAGAGAAACTCCATCTCAAAAAACAAACAAACAAACACACAGAAACATCCTTATAGAAGAGGGAGTATAGGAAATATAATTGAAATTCTCCTTTCTTATTATATTCTCCCACTCCTAATAATTGCCTTCTAGATCCTTGAAGAATCCCTATCTTGCTTTTGCATAAAGATCTTTTACCCTGCAGGTAAAAATCTGTCATTTGAAAGTAAAGTTTGATTTTTTTATATGTAAGTATGTTGAAATATGTGTCAGTTTATCCATTGACATTTTTATGTGTTTTTTAAATATATCCTCAATTTTTTTTACCTGACTATATCTTTGTTGGATATATATAAATTCAAAATACTGTGGATTTATAAATGCAAAACTTCTTAAGTAAAAAATGGAATCTAGATATTCTGCAAAATTGTTCAAAACAAAATTATAGTTTTTAGTTAAGGGTCAAAGAGCTGTTTAATTTTTCAAAGGAAAAATAGTTCCACATCTTAAGCAAGCCCTTCTGGGCATGACAGAAAAAGTCAATAAATACAATGTATTCTGTGGAACTTACCCAACCCCTGAAAAGTTCCTGTATCTTCTAAATATATAATTTGTAACTACATATGAATATGTATTTTGCCACTGATGCTTTATTCTTTTTAGATTTGTAATTTTTCTTCATAAAATTATTTAAATTTTTAAAAAATTTTATTTAATTCATTATTTATTTTGAGTAGGGTCTCATTCTGTCATGCAGGATAAAGTGCAGTGACATGACATAATCATGGCTCTCTGCAGCCTCAACCTCTTGGGCTCAAGTGATTCTTCCACTTTAGTCTCCCAAATAGCTGGGACCACAGTTGTGTACCTCCACTCCTGGCTAATTTATTTTTTGCTGAGGTGGGGATCTGCTTATGTTGTCCAGGCTGATCTCAAACTCCTGGTTTCAGATGATGCTTCTGCCTAGGCCTCCTAAAGTGCTAGGATTATAGTTGTGAATATTTATGAGTTACATGAGATACTTTGACACAGGCATGCAGTGTGTAATAATCACATCAAGGTAAAGGGGAATCCATCACATCAAGCATTTAACCTTTGTGTTACAAACAATCCAGTAATACTCTTGGTAATTTTTAAATGTACAATTAAATCCCTTTTAACAATAGTCACTCTCTGTGCTAGCAAACACTAGGTTTTTTTTTTTTTTTTTTTTTTTTTTTGGTATTCACTAACCCACTTTCTCTCCCTCATTGATTATTGTTAGCTTATCTCTCTTTTTTTTTTTTTTTGAGATTATTGTTAGCTTATCTTTTTTTTTTTGAGGGTGTTGCTCTGTCACCCAGGCTGGCGTTTAGTAGCATAATTATGGCTTATTGCAGCCTCAGCCTCCCAGGCTCAAGTGATCCTCTCACCTAATTTTTATATCTTTTGTAGAGACCTGGTTTTGCCCTCTTGCCCAGGCTAGTCTCAAACTCCTGGGCTCAAGTGATCCTCTAACCTTGGTCTCCCAAAGTCCTGGGATTATAGGTGTGAGTCACTGCACCCAGCCTATTAGTTTACCATGACCAAGTATAGAACAATACAATACAGTGCAATATAATACAATACAATAATAAGACTCTGGATTAATTATAAACACCAAGGACTTTTCATTATGGACACTTTATATCATTTCAGGAGGAAATTATTTTCTCATTGTTTTTGAAAAAAAATCAGCAAAAAATGCAGTTATTTACTGTCTCTTACAAACAGGTTTCCGTATCTAGTTGTTCATTAAGTAATTTGATAAAATTCAATTTGTGAAGATCTGTTACATGACTTTGAAGCATCAAGAAGGGTATATTTACCTCTCTCCTCTAATAATGAAGAGAATTTTATAGGAATAATTTTTTTTGAGGTGGAGTCTTCATCTGTGGCCCAGAGGGAGTACAGTGGCGTAATATTGGTTCATTGCAACCTCCACCTCCTGGGTTTAAGCAATTCTCCTGCCTCAGCCTTCCAAGTAGCTAGGACTACAAGTGTGTGCCACAACACCCAGCTAATTAATTTTTAATTTTTAGTAGAGACAGGGTTTCACCTTGTTGTCCAGGCTGGTCTCGAACTCCTGGTCTTAAGTGATCCACCTACCTCAGCCTCCCAAAGGGTTGATATTACAGGTGTAAGCCAGCACACCCAGCTGAAATACTAATTTTTAAATAGAGGCTTCTACCAAGTAAAAATCGAACAGTCCCAATAAAAGATATTTCAATTTTCCCAGAAAAACTATTTGCTTCTAATAGTACTTGACTTAAAATTTTATCTCACTGCTCTTCCTCACATGATGTTTTACATCCATGGTTCTGTATGTGCTATTCTTTGTACTCAGAATACCCTTTCTTTCTTCCTACCCTTTGGTTACATGGGGAACCCCGGAAAAGCCCTGTTCAAATATCAGCTTCTTAGTGATGGTTTCTCTGGATCATCATTACTGTGCTACTTCTACATACAAGCTGCATATGCCTAATCTCAAAATCCGAAATGTTCCAAAATCCAAAATTTCTCAGCAGCAACATGACACCTCAGTGAAAAATTCCACACCTGACCTCATGTAAAGTCTTGCAATTAAAACACATTCAAAATTTTGTATCATGCACAAAATTATTAAAAATACTGTATAAAATTATCTTCAGACTATGTGTGTAAGGTATATATAAGACATAATTGAATTTTGGCTGGGCATAATGACTCACACCTGTAACCCCAACATTTTGGGAGGATTGCTTGAGCCCAGGAGTTCAAGACTAGCCTGGACAACATAGTGAGACCCCATCTATAAAAAAAATTTTTTTAATTAACTGGGCAAGCTGGGCAAGGTAGTACATGCTTTTAGTCCTAGATACTTAAGAGGCTGAGGTGGTCACTTGAGCCTGGAGGTCAAGGCTCCAGTGAGCTGTGATTGCGCCATTGTACTCCAGACTAGATGACAGAGACCCTGCCGAGAGAGAGAGAGAGAGAGAGAGAGAGAGAGAGAGAGAGAGAGGAGAAATTAGTATATTTGTATATACTGTTGGTGGGAATGTAAATTAGTACGTTCATTACGGAAAACTGCATGGTGGGTCTTCAAAAAACTGAAAATAGAATTACCATATGATCCAGCCATCCCACTTCTGGGTATTTACCTGAATGATTTGAAATCAGTATGTTGAAGAGATTCTGCACAATTAGGTCTACTGCTGTACTATTCACAACAGCCAAGTTATGGAATAAATCTAAGTGCCCATTAATAATGAGTGAACAAAGAAAATGTGGTACAAGGTCTTCAAAAAGATCTAGAAATCTGTATTCTAGACTTTGATAGTAATACTTAGCCAATTCAGTTATTCTTTTGTTCATTTGTTTGATTCTTTATCTTGTGGCTCCAGGCTTGAGGGTTATCCTCTCCCTTACTTTGCTTTTTCCTCACTCCAGAGGCTATGCCAATGCTTATGATGTGGCTATACTTTCAGCTATTGGACATGCATAAGGATCTAATCCCTGAAGTCTAAGGATGTAACATCTATGGTTCCAAGTATTCCAGTGCAACTCCAAAGGTCCATGACATGAAGTATTTTTTTTTATTTTGATAAGACAATATATTTAAAGCCCTTAGGCTATGAGGAAAGTTTCAAAAGTGACAGTGAGCAATTTTGATACTAGAACAATAGCATCAGCATTATAGCAAACCATTGTAATTTTCCACTTATCATTTATTGTTTGATTTGTGTAATTCCTAAGATGTACTCAAGTATTACTCATGAGTACTTAAGTGTACTCCAGTGTTATCTGTGACATGGTAAACTGAGAAAATCATAGGCTATCAATCTTCATGAAAATAACTATATTAATGCAGAATTTTATGTTAATGGAAAGAATTCCTAGGCAGCAATTGCTGAAGGTCAAAGAAAGGGAAAGTCACCAAAGATAAAGATGTAACATAAAGTTTAACTTCTAACTCCCTTAGGAAAAGTCACATACAGAGTTGCCTACCCCCAGCTAGTAAATACTTTGGAAGAGGTATCTGAAAGATGCTATCTGTTTATTGTTGGTCTTTGCCCTCTACTTAACATAAACTATATAAGGTAGGAACTATATGTTTAATTCATTCTTGAGCCACTAGCACCTAGAACTGGGCCTGACTCACCATACTTTCTCAATAAATATCTGTTAATAAATCAGTTAATGTTAGAGAAGTTACAAAAGCAATTTAATATCAAGAGGAGTAATGAGAATTTATTATTCTTTATTCATTTCAAGCTTCCTAAAATTGGAAAATGTGTATATGGCTTGTGAATACCCTAACTTCTTCACAATGTTAATATTAAAAATGTTCTTCATTCATGTGTTATTTTCTTTTTTAACTTTAGACACAGTCATAGGATATAGATTCACTTTACAATTATTTCTCTGTAAAGAGAACATATTGAAAGAAGCAACCTTAAAAGGAGACAGATGACCAAAAATTATAAGTGATTTACCTGTTTACCAATGAAATAGTCTTGCCTAGAAAGTTAAACCTAATCTAACTAAGTCTCTGAAAGCAGCAATGGTTTTCAACCCTGGTTGCACTTTAGAACTTGATACTATCCTTTTAGAAGAAAGATACATTAATGAGTAATTTAGAACTTAAAAAAAAATCAAGTGATTCATTATTTTCCTCATTTTAAAATGAAAAATAAATGCTGGCTCCTCAGGGGAGTGAATGGTGCAGATGTGGGGCACTAGATATACCAGATGAGCTTGGGATATCTTGTGCTAGAAAGCAAGAGTAATCAAAAACAAATGGCTCATATCAGAAGGACACAAGATTGATCATCAAGGGGCTTCAATTAGACAAAAATGGGACAATTTGAGCATCAAAAATAAAAAGAAATGTAAGTGATAAAAGCACAATTAATAAAAACATTTCTGCTGTAATGCACGAGCAAACAAAACAAACAAGAAGTGTTTTGCAATATCACACAGAAAATAAGTGGAGGTCAGGATCAAGAGATGACAACTCAAAACCTAATCATCTAACTAGAGAACACAGAAGAGAACAATAACAATCCTAATAAAGTTACAAACTCAATTTAAAAGGTTTGTTAAATTCCTATATAGAAAATAAATATTGCAATAAATCTAGATTTTAACAACAATAAACTAAAAACCTTTGATGGAAGAAAGTAAGGAAGGGTTGAGGATGCGGGGGTTGAGGCTTGCCATGAAGACAAGGGAAAAATGCACGAATATGAAGTAAATACAGAGCAGGCACCCCCAAGTCAAATGAAACCAGTGGTATGCGATGATTATGTACAATGAGAGAGTGCCATCTGTTGGTGGCTTTCAGTATTTGACTATATTTGTGTATTTTGCATTCAGCTGGTGTCACTTGTTGAGACACATTAACCTATAAATCAAAGGGTTTCCTTGCTACACTGACATCAGCCCTTTATAAATTTTGTGCAAGTTAATTCACATTGTAGACTAATTCTAATTGTAAGAAGTTAAAATAATAAAAGAATTCAAAATAAGAAACAAAAATAATCTCATTTTGTGCCCATTAAAAAAAGCAGGTAATCATCGTCTTACTCTAAAACTTAACAATATTCCACAAAAACTGAATTTCAAGGCAACCACCAAAATACCCTAATTGACAAAGGAAAGTTCTTCTTTATTGTTAATTCCAGCCAATAAGCATGAAATGACTAACAGTTGGGAAATCATCCTTTACAAACCCTAATTAATCAACTGCTTGATTAATCAAAATAATAGTTGAGTTAGAAACCATTGTCACAATACTACAAGATTGTGTAATGATGCATGGTATATCCTTATTGATATATTTATTTCTTCATACAGCTTTGAATTACTGTCTTGTGTTCTTTAATTTTACCTTGCAGTACTCCGTCTTACAAGGCAGTACTAGTAGTAAAGAACTTCTTCAGCTTATATTTATCTGGGGAACACCTTAACCTCTCTCACTTTTTTTTCATTGTTGTCCGACTTAGTTTGGTCAAAGTTTAGATTAAATGAGTATCTCTCACTTTTGAAGGGCAGTTTTGTTAGATATATAAATCATGGTTGACAAGTTTTTTTTCTTTTAGCACACTGAAAAATTTACCCACTACCTTCTGGCCTCCAGAATTTATTTTTTAAATTTTTGTTGGTACAGAGTAGGTATATGTATTTATGTGGTACATAAGATATTTTGA